ATCCAGGCTGTTTCTGTATTTATCTCAACATGAGACCATCACAATTGCTGCAGCAGCGAATGAACACAGAGGGTTCAGCCTGGCGGTTATACAGAGCTCATAGCCCATTATACAGAATTAGCCACATGGTCTTGTCTAACTGTAAGGAGACTGGGAAAGTACGAAACAACATGTTTTTTTGATGAATAGAAATGTTTCTGCCATGAACTGTTATCAAAAGAAAGAAGGGTAGAGATGCAAAGCAACAAATATCTACTACAGCCTGGGAACCTAAACAGTGTTTAAAATGTTGATATATGAACATGCATTCAGAGTTTAAAACTACTCTTTGAAGTGGTCCTTGCCCAAGGTTGGCTTGTTTTTGTTTAAAAGTAATTCATGAATTCATGAATTGAAAACCACTGACTTCAAAATGAATTTCTAGAATATAACCCTTTTATAGGTTGGAGACTGTGATTATCATAACCATTTGCTAAGTTAAATCATGCTGAATTCCGTGGATATATTTGGTACCTGTTTTGCTATATTGCTTTGATAATTGACTATTATATCTTATTAGAAGTTAAAAAAAAAGCAAACAAAACCCTCATCTTCAGTAACATGCTTTCTTGGGTTTTCTGAGTTACCTCTCTCAGGGGTAGGCAAACTTTTTTAGTTAAGTACCAGATAATATTTTAGGCTCTGCAGGCCATATGTCACAACTGCTCAACTCTGCTGTTGTAGTACAAAAGCAGCCATAGGCAATACATACACGAATGGATGTGGTGTGTTCCAGTAAAACTTTATTTACAAAAACAGGCCGTGGGGCCATAGTTTGTTGACCCCTAATCTACCTTGGGAACTCTGGTGGTGGTGCAGTGTTTAAGAGCTTGGCTGCTAACCAAAAGGCTGACAGTTTGAATCCATCAGCTGCTCCTTGGAAACCCGATCGGGCAGTTCTACTCTGTCCTGTAGGGTCACTATAAGTCGAAATTGACTAGACAGCAATGGGTTGGTTTGTTTTTTGGAATCTACCTTGAAGGAGTCCTAGTGGCACAGTGTGGTTAAGAGCTCGGCTGCTAACTGAAAGGTCAGTGGTTTGAACCCACCAGCCACTGTGCAAGAGAAAGACGTCACAGTTTGCATCTGTAAAGATTACAGCCTTGGAAACTCTTTGGGGCAATTCTTCTCTGTCCTATAGGGTCTCTGTGAATTGGAATTGGCTCCATGGCAACAAGTTTGGTTTTGGTAATCTATCACCTGCTTATCCTTAACTGCTCTCATAAAGCAGCTCTTCCTCCTTCCCTGTTAAATGTGAATTCCTAGATTATTTTAACCCACCTTCTCATCTCACACTTCTTGAGCAGCCTCACTGACATTCATTATTTCAACCACTTCAGATGCTGAAATCAGATTTGAGAAGGATTTTTGGCTATTCCTCTTATTAGCTACTTGTCAATGGTCAAGTTACTTAGTGTTTCTGAGTCTTGTAAAATGGGGCTAATAATGCTTGTTTGTAGGTTTGTAGTAAGCATACGATTAAATATGTAAAATGCTTGAAGCACAGAGATTGGCAAATAATATATTGTTGACAAGTGGTAGCTCCTGTTGTCTTAGTTATTGTCCTCACACATTATTGACTTTCACGTCTGTATCTTGATCGCAGAACTTTACATCAGAGTTCCAGTTTTTAGTACATTTCTCTGTTGGACATTTTATCAAGCTTTTCAGTAGTGTCAGTTAAGAAGCATTCAGCTGCAAGTCAGAGTCTTCTCATATAACAGAAAGTCTTGAAACGGGATTCTGGAGCTCAGCGATGTCAGGGCATTTTTGTGAGTCTCTTGGTTTTCGCCCTTGAGGTTGCAAGATGTTAGTTACACAGTAGCTTCAAGTCTCTTGTCCTCATATATCTGTGTCTGTGGGACAAAGAACATGGTTTGGCTCTTTGACTCTGGTTTCTGAAAATAACCCAAGCAATCAAGATGCCTTTGTTTTCAGAAATAGCCTGGCCGATAGGGGCTCCACTGGCCCCACACCTGGCTGACTAACTTCAGGAAGGGAAGAGAGCCTGATGCAGGTTATACATATTAACTGATTGGAATGAGGAAGAGAGATGTGGGGGAGGGGCCAGCTGTCTGAAGTGCAGACTCCTGAACTTACAGCTGCTCCCTGGTGACCTGGCCTCAGGTGGCCAGGGATGTTTTAAGCTGGCTCAGGATAGCCAGGGATGAGGGTGGTTAGGGTCAGCGAGAAAGGGAATTGTCAGGAAAGTGATTGGCAAGGAGGAGTGAAAATATGGGAAGGTAAGTCCTAGATCCACTTCCAGCTGGAAGTTGGATTCATGCTGATCCTTGCCACGCAGTTAGTGATAAAAGTGGGGTTTGCCCACCTTGCCCCTTTTATAGTGCAGTTTGTAGCCACGTGGTCCTTGCAGTATCTAAAGCAGTAAAAAGGTGAGAAGAAGAAGGGGCTTCTCCTGTGCAAACTTTTTTTCCTTATGAAAATTATCACTTAATAAAGCAGAAAAAAAAAAGTAATTAGGAATAGAATCTACAGGACTTGAACACCTTAAGGTGGGAGAAACTTGAGAAAGTGTAGGATGATTGCCAAGTTTTTGACTTAAATGTCTAGGCTCTAGATGGATGGTGGTGTCGTTGATATAAGAATTAGATTTGTAAAAGAAGATAAATTCTGATTTAGACTTGTTGAATTTGAGCTACCTGTGGAAGATGGACTACCCTCTCAGCAGTTATTCCTCCTCTTGTAAAAGCTTTATTGAGATATAATGCACATAACCATAAAATTCACCCTTTTAAAGTGTACAATTCAGTGGTTTTTTGTATATTCACAGAGTTGAGTAAATATCACCACTATCTAATTTAGAACATTTTTTCATCATCCCCAAAAGAAACCCTGTACCCATTAGCAATCACTCCCCACTACCCCTCTCCCAGGCCCTGGCAACCACTAATCTACTTTCTGTGTCTGTGGATTTGCATATTCTAATTAACTCATATTCATCACTTCTTTCCAATCTTACTTTTTGAGTTCTGTCTTAGAAAGGACTGTAGGTCATATATAATTACTGGTTTGCTGGCGGTGACTCATCCCTTTCTCTCTGTCAGTCCAGTATTTGGAATAATTAATACACAGCATATAGTAGACTTGATGGTGTTTGAATGAATGAATGAATTTATTCACAAAATTGTTTTTGGTGATGTTTCAGGTAACCATGATTAAGAACCGTTGCTTAAGAGTATTTAGTCAGAGTTGCTTAAGAACGACCTCTGGTCTGTCCCTACCTGCCTTTCCAACCTCACTCTTACCATTCTCTGGCTCATACTTAATGTTCCAGCAACATTGAACCAACTCATCGTTCCTCATGATTGCCATGTTTTTTCTTACTTCCTTTCCTTTGCTCATGAGATCTCCTCTGTTTAGAATCCCCCAGGACTTTCCGTTTGCCCAGTTTCTCTTTGCTCAGTCAAGGGATCGGGAATTTCAGTCTTCCTCCTCTAGGGAATCCCCTGTACAGAGCCCTCTCTTGTTTTAATCATATTATGCTATGTAAAAAAGTATATATTGTATTTGTCTAGACCAGGAATATCTGAACATTTTATTGCTCACCTGTAAAAATTTAGCATGTACTTGCACAGTTATTTATAAATTATATATACATGTACTAGTGAAATAATCTATTAAATATTAGTAAAGATTTTGATAAAAAGTGTAGATGTAAGGTTTAAGGCTTTTATCCTGTACCTTATTTTACAGACCAGGGGTGACTGAGTATTTGATGACAGGACTATGTGTGAGTCAGAATCGACTTGATGGCAGTGGGTTTGGTTTTGGGTTTAGGGATTGTGTTGAATCTGTAAATCAGTTTGGGCAACACACCCTACTTTTTTATTGTTAGGTTCGACAGATATAAAATTACTGTCAACCGTTGTACTTAACTTGTGGATTCATAACAGTCTGTGGACCGTTACTGGTACATGGACCATACATTGAGGAGAACTAGCATAAAGCACTGTGGTAAATGCTTGACAAATATTATCTCATTTAATTCTCACAACAGCCTTATCTCATTTAATTCTCATAACATACTAATCTCATCTAATTTTCATATTATTTAACTCTCATAAATACTGTTATCACTGTTGATAGATGAAGAAACTGGGGCACAGAAAAGTTAATTGTCCAGGATCACATAAATACTACCAAAACAACCAGGATTCAAACCCAGGTTGTTTAGTCTGGCTCCAAAGTGTGTGTGCTAGTGTGCTAGCATTCCCATCTGAGAATGTCAAGTATAGACAAGGATGCAGGCACAGACAGTTACAAGTCAGCATACTGAGCAGCTTGATGTAATTAATGAGTGTGTGCCATATATTTAATGGGAGATGAAGACTAACATATAAAATGAGGCCTTAAAGTGTAGTGACTAGAACTTGTATTTAATAAACATTTAAATGTATCCTTTTTGATAAAAATAATTCATTTGACCAAAAAGAGAAGGTTAAGGGGTCACCTAATGATTTTCATATAAAAGTAGCATTAGGGAAGAAGCTGACCAACTCTTTTTTTAACCTGTATTGAGTCAGCAGCTGCTTATGTTTTACGTTCGTATTAAAATCTCTGATTTGCAAAACAAAATAGGACGTTATTTCTCTGACATGTATGTCTTTGCAGTGTAACCCAGTTTCATTTACTGAATACTTTTTTCTCCTATTCTGTTCTTCCTCTTACCTCTTTCCTTATTTGATAGCATAATCAACCAAATCGTTACACACACATCAAAAGAGAACTAACTTTTTGTTTCTACAGCTGTCAGTATTTTAAGAACAAAATGGAAGTAAGTAATGATCCAACATTCTGATGTTAATGGTAGTAGACGTTCATGTTACTCTCTTAATTGTTTTGTGTCATAGAATTATACACTTAACAAAATTGGAAACTTTTAGAATATTTAAACATCAACAGTATTTTTTTATAAATTTTTCAAAATCTTTCTTCTATAGAAATCTGGTTAAGAAGTACTGTCCCAAACGGTCATCCAAAGATGAAGAGCCAAGGTAACTTGTATACCTGTTTATTGCCTATTAACAAATTCAAGAAATATTTTATTATTTAGAATAATAAATATTGATAAACTTAGTAAGATATATTTAATAAGATAATACTTATTTTAATAAATATTGTCTTACTAAATAATAAAATACTTTTACTACCTGCAAGAATTGATTTAAAGCAATAATGAAAAGGAATGAGGGTTTCAGGGTAATTTTGGAGTTTTTAATAAAAGAGTGGGAATCTCCTATGGGCTTTGGGGCAGTTTTAAACAGGGATATGTGGATGGCTCTAGAATGCAGACAAAAAGAGACTAGACTTCAAAAAAAACTTTGTATAAAATTGTCAGTTGTTAGGATTCTAAGATTTATTGTTAGTGGAGTACTATCTGAGTTGTCAGCCTTCAACTGTTTAAGAGAGTGTTTCTTAGTATATTCAAAGTAGATACCTACATTTTAATACGGTGATTCTCTTTGTTTCTCTCCTTCCCTCCACACACATTTTTTCCCCTTATTTTTGTCCCCTCTATCCCCCTTTGGTGCCGACATAATGGTCCTTCACTTCCATTCAGGATATGGGCAGGCATTCAGGCAGCTGTGTCGAGAGCTGATAGCAAAGTTATTCTGTAGATCAGCCATCAAGATGCATTTGAGTGGTATGATTGGCAGGTTCTGCCCTCAAGAGCACGCACACCATCTCTGCAACAGGTTCAGCTGCCAAGCCTAGGAATCCCACCAAGTTCATTCCCAAGCTCAGGCCAGTCAATTGGCAACTTAAGAGATTCCAGTATGTCAAAAAAGCCTGCAGGTAGTATTCTTATTATTTTTTGACCCCCAAATATCCCTTTATTTATAAATTAAGTCTACTTGAAGATATACAAACAAGTACACCTTGAGATTAATGCAGGGTTCTTTCCATTTGAAGTTAATTTAGAATATAGCTGAGATTAGCTTATGTTAAAATTTGTCAAGTGTCAGACGCGATCCATACCTCACGAAAAACATTTGTAATGAACACTAAAATAAATTTCACCATTTTAAAATATGTTTTTGTCAGGTTTACCTCGTGTATAGCCTTCTTTAACATCCTTAACGAGCTAAATGACTATGCAGGACAGCGAGAAGTAGTAGCAGAAGAAATGGCGTACAGAGTATATGGTGAATTAATGAGATATGCTCATGATCTGAAAACTGAAAGAAAAATGGTAATTCTTATTATTTTTATCCAGTTATTATACTTTATCAGTTATTAAAATATGAAATATTTTCATATAAGTAAGAATTACTTTTGCTTTTTAAAAATACATGTGCTCAACATAAACTGGTTTTCTGTTTCACTGAATTTATTCTGTTTACAGATTATCTCAAGATACTTTTACTAATTTATGATCGTTTTGAGTTTAAGATCAGGGGTCAGCAATCTACAGCTTATGGGCCAAATCCAGCCTACTGTTTTTGTTTCCTAGTTTCCACGAGCAAAGAATTGTTTTCACGTTTTTAAATGGTTGAAAAAAGAATCCAAAGAAGAGTAATATTTCATGTCATGTGAAACTTACATGAAATTCAAATTTAGTGTTATTGTTGTTAGGTGCCATTGAATCAATTCTGACTCATGGGACAGAGTAGAACTGCCTCATAGGGTTTCCTAGGCTGTAATCTTTACAAGAGAAGATTGCCAGGGCTTTTCTTCCTCAGAGCTGCTGGCCAGTTTGAACTGCTGACCTTTTGGTTAGCAGCCAAGAGCTTAATCATTGTACCACCAGAGCTCCTTCAGTGTCCATAAGTATAGTTTTATTGGGACAGACCACACTCATTCACTTATGTGACTCCTTTTGCATTATAAGAGCGGAGTTAAGTAGTTGGAACAGAGACCACGTGGTTAAAACCAAAACCAAACCCGTTGTCTTCAAGTCAGTTCCGACTCCTAGTGATACCACCCAAAGCCTAAAATACTTACTGTCTGATCTTTGACAGAAATGCTTGCCAACCCCTATTCAAGACAATCATCTATTTTTCTAAAGGTTATGTCCCTTTTAAGGGTTATATTTGTACTATTGAAGTAATACCCTGTAAAATACATTTTATAGAGTTTTGCTTTAATAACAATCTCTTCCTAAATGATGATAAAGTAATTAGTGCTTTAAAAACAAAAACAAAAAGCCTTTTTTTTGTGACTTTAGACTTCATTTAGTATTTAAATGCAATTATTTATTTATTTTTGGCATTTATTATTATCTTTAGCATCTCCAAGAAGGACGAAAAGCTCAACAGTACCTTGACATGTGTTGGAAACAGATGGATAATGTGAGTTTTAGTGTTTTCATGATTAACATAAAATTTTGTAGACTGACTTGACCCTAAATTCTCTTATGGTTCATATCTATTTGAGTTTAACGTTTCTCTAATTTGACATTGGTTTTGTTGCACAATAGCCAGTAAAGTGTAAATGCAGAATGTGAGATGAATTTATCATTTTTTTGGTTTGCTTCCATACATGTACCAACTGTATAATCTTCAGATCTTTGTAAACATTTAGAGAGATTCTTTTTTGACTTTGCAGTAGTTACTATAAAATATTGATAGAGAATAGAATAGGGAAACTGTGAGATATCTTGGAAGACCATTTGAGACTCAGAGGACCCAGATTCTAGTTCTCCCCTTTCCTCTGGCACTTGATTTCTCTTAACTTCATTTTTAGCATGTGAAAACTGAAAAGAGTGGGTTAGATTATATTAAATGTTTCTTCCAGTTCATTGCTTCTATAATTCTGTGCTTGTAATACTCAGCTGTTGGTCAGAGGCCATCCCACTGTAGGAAATAAAATATTCTGTGGGGCAGAATTATAAAAGCATAATAATTTTCTTAAACATATTTCCAAAGCTGTTTGCCAGTGTGGTTTTTCTTAAACGTTCTGGTATTTGGTCATTTGAAAAACAAGATGTAGCCTCCATTACTTAAAACCATTACTACCAGCTTATTACAAACACTATATATAGTCTCCTTTACTTAAAATGCTCTATCAATTGATGTTGTGTAGTATAAGATTAATATTCTTTTTGAACTCTCAGGTTAGCAAGCAGTTTATTCTTTACTTGCATATTTCTGTGTTGGACACTGTATGTTCCTTCAAAATTATGCTGAAGGGAGTATTTCATGTTAAATTGATCAGTTTAATCTGTGATTATTGGAAAAAGGACTTTAAGATCAAGAAAAAACAAACTCACAGTGTTTTCAGCCTTTCTTTTTCCGTTTTAAAATGAATATTCAAAGCTTGATAAAATTTCTCCTATATAGCTGTCAGTGATGTAAGATTTGAATTATTAGTGTTAATTGAGAATTCTTAGGTATACTAGTAGTCTGTTTTCATTTCCTTTCACCAGGACTTTTAGGGAGTGTTTACGTTTATTAAATTTTAAATTAACTGGCGTCCTTAGTATCTGCCATCTAATGAGTGTGTGTTTGCTTGTGTGTGTGTGTGTGTGTTTTTATTTGCACCAAATAACAGACTCCTATATTCATGAGTCATTGGTCCCTTTAAAATTGGTGTTGGCACAAACCGTTCTTGTTAGTGTGTACTGACTCGTTTTTAGAACAATTGGCAGTTATTAAGCAAAAGTTATAGAGGTCATAAGTAGGAAAGAACCATCAAAAAATGTAGGAGAGCCCCCGAGACTATGGCCCCCAGACACCTACTAACTCAGAACTAAAGCCACTCCCAAAGTCCACCTTTCAGCCAAAGATTAGACAGGCCTGTAAAACAAACAATAACACACGTGAGGAACGTGCTTCTTGGTTCAGTCAAGTATACGAGAGCAGATGGGTTACACCTGCCCAAAAGCAAAGATGAGAAGGCAGGAAGGGACCGAAAAACTGGATGAATGGACACGGAGAACCCAGGGGGGAAAGGGAAAGGGGAAGAGAGCTGACACATTGCGGGGATTGTAACTAATGTCACAATACAATTTGTGTATAAAATTTTTGAATGAAAAACTAATTGAGCTGTAACCTTTCACCTAAAACACAATTAAAAAAAAAAAAGTAGGAGAGTTTTTTTTTTTTTTTTTTTTATGGTGGGTGTAAACAATGCCATGAAATAAAGGTGAGTTCAGCTTGACTTGTGTTTATTGGAGGCATCCCTGATGTGTGCCATGTGTGCCCTGGAGATGTAAATATGACATGAATTTATGTGTGTGTGCATGCACAGTTTAGTGGGGAAAACAGACTAACAAATATAGTGTAAGTATAATCTGTAGAAACATGTGTTTCTTAGTTTGCCTGTTTCTTAGTTCCGTGTCTTTGTGTTTAATGAAGAAAATAAAATTGATAGAATTCTTAACATGTTTGAATTAGTTGAGAGGAGATTTAAAGAACTGAGAGAGACAAGTTGAATTAGTGACAGAGTAGTAAAAACTGAGGAAATTTTTTCACCAATCTTATTGGCCTGACAGAGAACTAGAGACACCCTGAGAGTATGGCTCCCGAACACCATTTTAGCTCTGTAATGAAGTCACTCCTGAGGTTTACCCTTCAGCCAAAGATTAGACAGTCCCATAAAAGAAAACGAGACTAAAGGGGCATACCAGCCCAGGGGCAAGGACTAGAAGGTAGGAGAGGACAGGAAAGCTGGTAATAGGGAACCCAAGGTCGAGAAGTGCAGAGTGTTATCATGTCATGGGGTTGGTAACCAGTGTCACAAAACAGTATGTGTAGTAATTGTTTAATGAGAAGCTAGTTTGTTCTGTAAACCTTCATCTAAAGTACAATAAAAAATAAAAACTGAGGAAAATTTTTTAAAATGACAATCATTAACTGCAGGTTAAAATGCTCAGGAAATATGCTCAGGGAGCAGTGGCATTTAACATAAGGGCAGATGAGGGTTGCCTGTGAAGGAGATTTTGAAGGAATGGTCAAAGATTAAGAACATAGAAGTGTCAGAGATGCTAGGTGTATCAGTTAGGAGGCTCCAAGCAGCACATGTTTATAAGAAGAATGCCCACAGAGCAGTTCCAGAGTTGGGCAGTAGCTCAGTGATGTCACTAAGGCTGCATCTCCTTTCCATCCGTCCACTCTGCCATCTTGGCTATATTGGCTTTTTCCTCAGGCTTGTGCCCTGGCAGATGGCTTAAACAGCCGGACGCCACATTCTCATTCAGTTGAATCCAGAGGCAACTCCAGAAGGAGCATTTCTCTTCCAACGGTCCTTTTTTTTTAATCAGGGAAGGAAAACTTTCCTAGAAACCCCCCACTGGAGATCCTCAGGGTACCTCTGACAGAATTAGATTACTTGCCTGTGCCCCAGCTGTGGGGAGACTGGAAAAGCAAGTATTTGCTGTGTTCAGCCTTTATGTTGGGAAGCAGGCTCTGCTAAGCAAGGAAGAATTAAAGGTGGAAGAGTAAGAATGGTTGTTGATTAGTCTGCCACATAAAAGATGAAGAAAAAAATAATCTTTTCTGGAGTAATCTCCTATATTGTATAATGATATAATATTTTTTGCGAACGAGTATTTTTAATATTATTGCATTAGTGGTTCTTTTGCTGTTGCAAAAAAAATTAGGTAGGCTTATTTTTTTCCCCACAAACATTAAGACTCCTAATATAAAAACACTTTCTTATATAAATAGCCTCACATTACACCAAAATTAATAACCTGTATCTACTCAGTCTGAAAATATAGCTCTGAACTGAGCTTAAGAGAATTAAACGTGGAAATTTAATTTTAGTCTTCATAGGAAGTTGACATTCTATATATTATGGACATTCAGATACTTTTATGTGCTTTGAATAAATTGTATTTCATTTGATGTCTTGTACTAATCTTGTAATAAGGCCTACATTTAAAGAGTTTTATAAAAAGTTTTGAACACATTTATTTGAAACAAATTACAGGAACTTCCGGCTCTAGCTATATGGCAAACTGAGCTAACTCAGAATACTTTGGATTACAGATACCTAGATGTACTAGCTAAAATATTTTTTACTGTATTTTAAACTCTTAGCTGAGCTACCTGAAAGGAATGGAAATCTCTTAACTGCTAGAAACTAAGGGTAAACTGAAAGCCAGTATAATAGGTATACAGGCTGATAAAGTGTCATCTTAGGAAAAAGGGGGCAGAGGTTTTGGGGTATGGTGGTTTACTGGAGCTGGTACTTGCTAGGAACTTGTGTTTTAATATTTATACTGGAGACAGAGATTAGGTTTTATCTCGGTATGGACTGGGAGTTATAATCGAGATCCCTGTATAAAGTTTGAACCTTTGAAGAACTAAACCCTTAGTGGAAGGGGGACTATAAAAACTCTGCCTACTGGCCAAGGGAGACATCAGAGAAACTTCTGTCTGAAGGTCGAAGTGAGGGAGGCAGGAGGTATCCTGTGAGAAATTTAAACCCTTTGACCTGGTAGTCATGAGATTTAGAATCCAAATTTGTACTACCTGTGTGGTTTTGTAATCCCCGAGACAAGAAATTGACATTGTAACAAGTTCTAAAAAGGAGGTTAAGTGAGTAAAAAATGTTGAAATTCCTTGCTTTCTTCTCTTGGACAATTCTCAGAATGCAGGCAGTGAGGCGTATATTCTCCAGGCAAGAAATGAAAGAGCCTGCTATGGGGAATCTAACCAGCTAGAGAGAAAAGACTTAGAGATACTGATATTAGGGTTTCACTAAGGAAACTAGCTGGTCATATTACCTTAGAGTAAAAGACCATAATCCACAAGCCCTATCTGAAGAACTTCCATCTGGCTTTTAAACTAGAGCAGATGGTCAGGGTCCCCAGACATTTAAAGAAAGCATCTAATGTGAATGTCAGAGATGAAAGCAATATGGGGGGGGGGGGG